TACCAACAGAATGCACGACACGTAGAAATCGAAAAGATTTAGAGCTTAAGTACCATGTCAAGATACAACGTATATACTGTATAGCGTGTATAGTAAAAAAGAATCTAGCACAACGCTGTCGTAAACTCAAGTCCAGTAACAAATTTTTACTGACAGAAATCGCACCCTAAAAAAAATAACGTGGTAAAATAAAATTATATTTTAAGATACAGTAAATGAATTTTCCGCCCCTTCCACGTATGGTATTTGCTTCAAAAATATGAAATGCAAATACAGCTATAAGTTCTGGTGGTAAATGTTATTTGAGTAATTCGTGTTGGGAAGGAGTGTCAAGATTTGGTCCATGTTTTGTGACACGTACAAGTTCTGATGGTCAAAAATCATTGTTTCACAATTTGTGAGAATAAAAGTTTTCCTTGTATAATAAGTTCACAATTTAGCCTCAGCATTTTGTCAAATTATAATATACTAGTAGTCTACAAGCTTAAGTAGCATTTGTATATATTTTCTGTATTTGAACGTGATGTTGACTTGGCTGTGCCTTTTTTTATAGCCATGAGGACCATCAAGTCTAGTGAGGAGGTGAAAATCCCCCCGGGGAGTAAGTATTGAAGTTTTAATTTATGTAATGATATGTATTTTGTTTTAATCTTAATTTGGAATGAGTCAGCCCTACCATATACAGAAGTTCTATGTATATCTAAACTTAATGTCTGCATATATGTCAAAGTGGAAAGTCGAATTGTTGGTGTTACGTTAACCATGGCATGAGTCTCTAATAAGGTTTTCCATTCTTTCTTTCCAGTCACCGTCACTGTCAATGCCCGAGTGGTCACTGTGAAGGGCCCAAGGGGAACCCTGAAGAAAAGCTTCAAACATCTCAATGTAAGAATCACTTCATCTTTGATAGTGATAACAAGTCATAAGGTGACATATTATAGTATACATGTTGCAAATAGCAAGGTATAAATATACAGGCCTTGTTAGTGTCTGAATCACTAATCTCCAACAGCCTTCTCAAAAAAATTTAGAGTAGGTGGCTGATAAGAAAAAGTAGCAGGCGAGCCACGAAGTGGAAATCGTAAAAATTAGACCCCTAAACATCGTTTTTGGTACATTCTGAGCAGCTTTTATGGCAATCTTGTGGATCCAAAATTTACTGTTCGTGCACAAATAATTCCGGAAAAAGGCTGTATTAAAATTTGTTTGCCGCTCCGATCGTATTACGCGCGGTCCTTGCGCCCGGCCACAAAATGCAGAAAAATAAAGAAAGCATATTTAAATGTCAATTTGATCGAAAAAATAATCATTGGGATGTGAAAAAATGTCACAGTTTCGCTTTTTGGAAGTTTTGTTTCTGTTTTGACGGTTTAATTCTAGCGGGGTGCGATCCATAAATGCCCTATGG